TCTCTCTCTCTCTCTCTCTCTCTCTCTCTCTCTCTCTCTCTCTCTCACACACACACACACACACACACACACACACACACACACACACACACTATATGTATATATATAGTCAGAATATAGTCAGATAGTCTTATCTTGACTACACATGATGTTCTTCCTTGGTTACTAAAGCCATTTAGCTATTTCTTGAAAGTAAAATCTAGACATTTATCAATACCAGAAAATATGGTGTGTGTGTGTGTGTGTGTGTGTGTGTGTGTGTGTGTGTGTGTGTGTTCTGTTATACTCCATTCAATAATCTGTAAAAAAAAAAAATACTCTTGGTCAAGTCCAACCACCTTGCCAAGAACATCTTTCTTCACATTATGGCACCTGCACACTCTTATTTCTTGAAAGTTTTGATTTCTTTGGCCCTTGTAACCCTGTTCATATTGAGAAAGCTATTCTTTGTTTTGCTTTTTTTTCTTCTCCTTATTCAGTGACATTACTTGCAGACAAAACTGCCAATTTCATCCTGAAAACTACCTTCCTGTTTTCAAAGAATTCTATTTCATTCATATTTAAAGAGTAGTATTTCTCCAATAAAAAAACTACAATTATGTCAGAATTACCACTATCAATTTGCCCCTTCATGGTGTTAGGTTTCAACCCTGGGACAAATGGCTGAAGTGTCTGTTGTAATGCCTATTCTTGGTTGTCAACCTGACTATATTTTGAATGAACTATAATCCAGAAATGGAGGGCACACTTGTGATCTGGATCTTGAGGCAGGAAGACAACATGCCTTTGATCTGGATCTTGAGGCTGGATGACACACTCTATTGATCCAGACCTTTAATCTGGGTCATACCTTCTGTCAGAAGCCTATATAAGGACAATGGAAGAGGGAACAGTGTGTTCTTCACCTACTTGCCCTCACCTCCATCAGCACATCCATTCCTTCTTGGAGATCCCAACAGACCAGCTGAGACACCCAGCCACGTGGGACTGAGTAGCTACTAGATTCTTGGACTTTCCATTCATAACAAGCCATTGTTGGACTGCAGCCTGTAAATCATTCTAATAAATTCATATATATATATATATATATATATATATATATATATATATATATATATAGAGAGAGAGAGAGAGAGAGAGAGAGAGAATTTTCATTCAATAAGTTCTGTGACTGTAGAGAACCCTGACTACTACACCTGTTTAACACATTAAATCGAACCTGCTGCACCTGGTTCCCCTCTGTGCCCTCTCCCTTCCCCAGACTGGCCTCTCCCGGGTGTCCCTGTGTCTGTCTCTACCTATGCTCTCCCACATATTTACAGTAAACCCTCCCCTCCACTATACCTAGGAGCGGTCATGTTTCCTTTCCTTTTCCTTTTTATTTCTTTCTTTCTTTTTTCATTCATTCATTTGTTATTGCTCCAAAGCCCTAGAAATCATGAAATGATCTTTAAATCAGATTGCACAACTCTACTGGCCCTGTAAACGTTGGTATATAACCATCAAATAATAGTGTTACTGAAACATTATAGGTTTTCAAATGAGCAGACCTAAGCAGCCCAATATTGTTATCACTTGGGATAAATTACTAAGAAATTTAGAAATCTTTGCCAGAGAAAGTCCTAAATTGCATGGGACGAATACACAATAAAATAGTGTTCTACCTGCCTATTTTTCAAATCAGTTTTCATCCATCAAAGAGCTGCTAATTATGGAAAATGACTAATAACCTTTTAGAGACCCCCCAGACCAGTGTTAACTACAAGTCCCATGATGCAAAGCTCGAGCCTGAACCTAGGTTACCCACAGTGCCTCCTGGGAATTGAAGTCTTTTTTTTGTCACCCACTTGGCAAACTAGATATCGTAGCCCCACTTCTCAGAAAGGCACTTTTAATCATAAAGTCTGTGGAAAACCATCGATCCTCTGCGAGGAAATTAGATTTGTTCTGGCTACTGCGGAGACGGGGACCAACACCTCGCGGGCGAGCCTCCGGGGGCGGCGGCGCGGTGTGACGTCACTTCCTGGAGCGGCTCCCCTCCCTCCGGTTCGCGGGAACCGGGCTGGGTGTCCGAGCCGAGGCGCCGAGCGGCTGCTGTCGGGCTGAAGGTCACGTGCGTCGCCCCGGGTCCCGGGAAGGAGGGCGACCCGCCGCAGTCGCAGAGGAG